TCCATGTTTTTAAGTGTAAAGGAATCTATGAACAATATTTGATAAAACCTATAAATTGTTATTTGGACAAGTTATTACAGTTGTGTGAACGCGGTCCCATATACAGGTAAACATAACTACTCTATACATATACCTGGACCGTAGTTTCCCCACCCAGTTCATACCCAGGTGAAGTGGTGCTTTAGTCAAAAACGAATACAAATAACAAATATTTAACGTTCAGTTGTGTTTTCATAACAGTCAAACGGTATCATATATCGGCTCGCTATGTCGCAGGGTGTCAGGTAAAACTCAAAATGTTATTACCCTTCTATGCTATCTGGGTGCGCCAAACCAATTCTAGACAAATCTAACGGTTATTGTAATACTGTGCAACATGCATTGTAACATTGAACATAATCTTGATTAATATGATGAGAAATTTGTATATGCAGTGTGCTTTATTCTATACGGTCCTTCCAGATTTTTTTCATTCCGCACTTTTGATCAACCAATTGTACAAAATCACACATTTTTGTGATGCGAGACGCACAACGGGGCGAACGATTGTTAAATACCATGAATCTCACGGTGTGCACGGTCTTTTTGGTCCGTTGTGCGGTCACAAAATTGTAATTACTGAATGAGGGGAGGCAACTCCTATCAGAAAATTGAGAAATAAAAAATTAAACTTACTTTCGAGACGACCCCTGTCAGCGCGTTCTGCATTTTCCAGAACTTATCGTAAATGAAGTGTATATAATAATATTGAGACAAAAATAGTAGAAAAGAAAGGTTTCGAGTGTCTCTAACTCCCGTTGTGCTATTGACGACGAGCAGCGGCCTATTCTCGAAGAAGAGCCATTTCAGGAGATACCTTCACGATATGCATGTGCTGGTCTCTCGGATCAACAAAGGTTTTTGGAAGTACCGAAAGGAATAGGGTAAATCACAAATATAATTTGCTGTTTTCTAAATGAGCTTTAAATCCAAAATCATACCATTTCTGTTTATAAAAACATCACTTAAGATTGAAAGATATTTGAAATTGCCAAGTTTGAGATGGGTCCAATTGATATGTTATACCTATAGCATATAAGGGTGCAATGCAGCTTTTAATTCACTTAAAATTGAGAGATATTTGAAATAGCCAAGTGTGTGTGTGTGTGTGTGTGTGTGTGTGTGTAAGGGTAGGGGGTTGGGGGTGGGGGCATAATTACAAGTGTACCTCAACTGCAATTTTTGACAGCAGGATGTTTAATTACTGCTCAGTTTTAAATGTAAATTTATCTTTACCAACATACATCTACAAACACATTTGTATAACTTTGTAAGTTCTCTGCATTATACTGTATATTCGATATATATATATTGTTTTCCTAATTTCTTCCTAGATTTTAAGGAGAGTATCTGACTGGAGGTTTAATATTTCTACCAGATCTGGTTTACCGAGGAGTTGTTTCCCCTGGACTGCAGTGTACCTGAGTATCAGTATCATGCCAATCTGACTCATCATATTCACTCTCATTCTCAGCATCTGAATCGATATCCACCCAAGCCAGAGGTGGTACCCTACCCATGTAAGGCTTCAGATGATCTATATGAACCACTATTGACCTAAGAAAAGGTGACTTCTGGATTTTATAATTGATATCAGTCAGTCTCTGTAAGACTTTGTAAGGACCCGTCTAACCCTATCCTAGTTTATCACTAACAGCAGGAAGATACCACCTCCACACAAAATCACCTTCATCAAATTTCCTCTATTTTGACCCATGGTCATAATACATTTTCTGTCTGGTTGATGCGCTACCTAATTTCCTATTTACAAACTCAAAGGCGGCTCTCGAAGCACCCTGCACCCATGACTCTATTTGACATCTATGTTCAGTCTCTGTGGGTAAACCTACCTTTATATCTAGAGGACACGAAACCTCACGGCCTAACAAAACTAGGTTAGGACTACACTCAGTACTAATATGCCTAGTGGCCCTATATGCCATCATCACATATGGTAATTGATCATCCCAGTCATTTATATTTTCATTGACAAAAGCCGACAGCATTTGTATTAACGCACGGTTTAGTCTCTCTACCGGTCCATTGGACTGAGGTATGTAAGAATGTTTTCTAGTTTTATCTATTTCTAGTTTCTCACAAATAGCTTTAAACAGGTCGTATTAGAACTCACGACCTTGGTAAAGCTACTACTGTTTGTGCAGTGTGTTTTGGTACAGCGTATGCTTCCATCCATTTAGAAAAATAATCCCCTACCGCTATGATGTAACTATTTCCATTTTGTGTAAACCACCCATAGTGTCTTTTGCTTTGCGCTCTAATGGAGCCCATACTAGAATGGATGGAGACAGGGGTGCTCGACCCTTTGATGGACCAGATTTTCTACGGGCACACGAATCACAGGCATTACACCAATTTGTGACATCCTCCTCTAGGCCAAGTCAATAAAACCTTTTCTGGATCATTTCAATTATTCTATCCCGACCAAGATGTCCGGATGTTCTGGTGTTATGTAAGTGATGTAAAATATCTTCCCTAACGCATGTTGGTGCCACTATCTGTTTTGTATCTCTCCCTGATACATTATCTACCCCTTTTCTACACAAAATACCCTGATCATCTATGACAAGTAATTCCTACATATGGTAGAGTTTCCTCAATTCTGAGGGAAATGTTGCAACTTAAGACTAAGGGGGTTTGGTAAAATACTTTGTCTTTAAAGGTAGAAACTTCCCTAGGATTAAGTCCCCTTCCTGCCAAAATTTCATCATTTCAGTACCCCAAGCATCTTACCAGTTTGTTAATACATTTTCTCTCTCCTTCTCAGGTATCCCATGGGAGATATCTACGGTTTCCTGAGTAACTGGAGGTGCTCCGATAGACTGACTGGAGTCATACAAGAGACAGTCTCGTGGGGATTCTACAGAGCCAAGGGAGATAACTGGCTTAGAAGAAACAAATGGCTGTGGGGGTCCAAAACTAAGGCAATAAACTATAGATGCTGGACACCGTGGATAACGAGACAAACTATCTGCATTGCCATGTTAAGGACCAAAGGAGAAATGGTCTTCCCCACAGAAAAAGTGTCTCAAATACTTTACAAACGTAACTACTGCAAGCAGTTCCCCTTATTTAGTATCCTACTACCGAATGCAATAACTCTTTCATCGCCCTCTTTTATTTGAGAGAGAACTGCACCTACACCTGTTAAACTAGCATCTGTATCCAGTATGAACTTTCCTGTATCTTTGGGACAGTTAAGAACTGGGGCACTAGTGTAGGAGATTTTTAAGGGTTTCAAACAAGCGTTCACATTCTACATCCCAAGAAAACTTTTTATTCTTTCTGGTTAACATAGTGAGGGGAGAAGCTCCTGCTGAAAAGTTTTGAATGAATCTCCTATAATATCCAGCAACCCCCAAAAAGCTTCTGACCTCGTTAACGTGTGTAGGTGTAGGCCTAAGTACGAGACTGATATCTGAAACAAGTCACATTTCCTTGGTTTGAGTTTGAGATTAGGTTCTCAAAAACATTGTAAACTTCCCAAAGGTTATTAAGGGCTACTTCAAATGTGTGACCAAAACGATAACATCGTCTAAATAGTCCAGTCCAATCCAACCCTCCAAGTACCAACTGAATAAGCCTTGAGAAAGTTGCAGGGGCATTACACAGACCAAATGGCATTACATTGAATTCATACAACCCCTTGTGAGTACTAAATGCTGTTTTCTCTTTGTCTGTCTTACTCATACCACACTGCCAGTAACCACTGGCTAAATCTAGGGTATTCAACCATTTAGCCCCAGCTAAAGTATATAATGTACCATTTATCCTAGGTAGAGGAAACGCATCTTTCTTAGTTCAGGTAACTGCGTTTAACTTCTGGTAATAAAATGTCCTGGCTGGTTGCAGCGATAACACCTTCTCTCATATCCCTGAGAATGACTTTGACTTTGACCTTGACTGTATCTTTGACCTTGACCTTGGTTGTTACTTTGACCTTGACCTCTACCTTTACCTCTGTATGTACCTCGCCCCGACTGTTGTCCTTTCCCTCTTACAACACCAGTTAATTACTTTCCTAGTTTGTCCAACCTTTATGTTAATAAAGTGGCTAAATCTTTGCTTTGTTTTTCACTTTTCACTTTCCTGAACAACCTGCACCTGACCTTTTTCTACCTAATCAACAAATGCTTTTGGCTTTCTTTCAGAAGTACGAAACTCCCTATCAAAAGCTTCATATTAAATTGCAAGTGTAATCGCAGCCTCCAGGGAAGCTGGACGATGGAACTGTACGTGGCGTTTCATTTCCATACTGTTAAGCCCATGAATAAACTGATCTAAAACATGAACTGGACACTCCAGGAAACGCCTAAGTTCTCAACTATAGCTAACAAGACTTGCATTTGGATTTCGCGACCTGTGTTAAAGTTGACATCTGTAAGCGGTCTCCCTCCCTGGGGGGTCAAATTGCGCTAACAAAACATCCCTTATTTTCCCAAAGTCGCCAATCTGCAAGGGTCAAAGTCCCAAGACCTCTCTGAGCTGGTCCCCTTAAACTCATGGCTTATTGCTGTGCTTTCTCATAGTTCCCCCACTGACAACATACCCTGTCTCCTGAATACACACACACAAGCAAGCACACACTACACACATGGATTCACGTCCTCAAATATCCTTAGCTATTAATAGGACGTTAAACATAATTAGACCAAACCAAACCAATCTGTTCCAAGGCCTAGACATACAAACGTCCTTAAAAAAAGGAAGTTTTTATTCCCTGCTTAACGTTCGGGATTTAGGATAATAGCAACAACTAGTTCACCCGTTGTCAGTATAATGTGACCAGGCGGAATGCTGTGCTAGGTGCGGTGCCTTCGGCATGGTATTTCAGTGAGATAGCACTGTGACCCTCTGTTGGCCCTTAGACTTGGAAACAACAACTATGTAGATTGTTTAAGGCTCTTCGTATCTTTTAATGTACACAGAAACCTTAGAACAGAAAGATACGAAACTATCAATAACAGGTACAATATACATATATAGTTTACTTTCACTTTACGAATGCGATTGAAATGACTACATTATGATATCATAAGTATTATTATATAATTACATCATCATCCACTATGAATACAATATAATGAGGTTTACCTGGGATCTTGAAAGGATTCCCACAACATTCCACGCACATGTTATGACACTAGTACGGACAAACGCATGGACAATGTGTGACTAAATGCAATGAGTACACCCGGTTACGGCACCATAAAGTTGGTATCAGATCCGCGGTATTACAAGAAGGCAAATACTCCAACGTACCGTGCCTCCTGCACACACACACCTGCATAAACAATGCACATGGCGGTACGTGCTAGAATGACTTTAACTGGTGATTATTATTATTATTATTATTATTATTATAACATGTTTAACGGCCCATCAACACAGGATAGATCATTAGGGCCAACACATAGCCGACAAAATCAAACACACTTCAAGGTAAAAGACAAGCGTCAATTATTGAAAGTGGCTATGGTGACTGATATTTTATGAAAATAACAAAATGTAGAGACAAAATTTGACACAATCTAATAATAAGCGTTTTACTAGCCGTTGATAGGCCGTTAAACATAAGCAATCAAACCTTAATCAAAAGAAGAAATTACATTTTAATTTTACACGAGGACATTAAAAACCCCATACAAACATATCATTGATGAAACCAAAATGTTCAACACGTGAAACCAACTGTTCTGAGGTTTACTTTGTCTGGTAGTGACACCACGGTCAGTATAATAACGAAACATCATGGTTTTTTTTCCAGGAAACGTATTTTTTTCTTCGTCAATAGCCACTTTCACATATTCAAAAGGTTATTTCAGTAAATAATATCAAGCCGTTGTTGCTGATAGCATAGTGTATTATATATATGTCGAACATGTAGGATATAGATATTTGGTATGTTTTTCCAAACTATGACATAATCTAATGCATGCATGTTCCATCGACTGTTCTCACAGGTATAATATTGGATATAATGAATGAATGATTTTTAACAAACGATAAAAAGAAACATTTGATATTCAATATGAATTAAAGAGCACGGCAGCTTGAATAAAAGAGCGTGGTAGCTTGTATGACGATTGTATACGCTTGTGCGTTCTTATAGACATTTGTATGAACATATTCTACAAGAATTCTGTGAAGCATAAAATAGATAACTGAGCAAGATAAGCATATGCAGTTGACATCTACATTTTGTGATCCTACAATTTGTCCCTGTTCTTAAATATGAGAACATATTCAAAGTATATATATCACATTCATTTCACAGGACGCCAAAGAACATCGTATGGCCATGAATCACTTGATTCGATCGATAGCCGCGCAGTAGGATTTTCGACACGAAACGGTTCAAATTTTAAGTCTTTCATGCGTTTTAATATATCGACCCCTGACGCCATCTTCCTGTGGAACTCCCATTCCATCACGAAACCTTGTACGTCTACAGCTTTGAAGAACTTGTCAGATTTAGCCACAGCTTTATGTTCAAATCCCTCAATATCCATTTTTACAATGACCTTAGAAAAATCTTTAAAAGCCGGAAGATCAATGAGGTCGTCCATAGTAATTGTGTCCACCTCCCCATAGCTACCCTGAGCGCGACCCTCCTTCAGCTCCTTTATAAGTGTTGAATCCACATCCACGTATGTGCCTCCCATATTATTCTTGTCTATTCCAAGTTTGACCCTCGTATGTCCATCTGATATTGCATTATGTACGATAGTGACGTCACGTTGCAGATTTCCTGCGGCGACGGATGCACAAAGATGCTGGACGTTTTTGTCTAATGCTTCCACGGCTATCACTTTCCTACCCATTTTCGCTATAGCTAAAGTATGTACGCCTATATTAGCACCAATATCTATTAAATTCATTTTTGAATCGGCTTTCAGTAAAGCTGCAATTCCGTTAGTTTTATCGGCCTCGAATTTACCTGTATTTTTAATAACTCCTGAAACCCAAACGTCATTTTCACTTGGATATATAAATATTGGAGTATCTCCAAACTGCGTTTTCAATGTCGCTTTAGGGAAATCATGACATTCTTTGCAAACGTGTTCATTAAGCGTCCATTTTGTGGAATCGCGGCTGTATACGTTTTTAAGTTCAACACTATTCTGACACTTTGTTGGAGTTGACTGGACTGACGCAACCCGATCTTTCTCTAAACTAAGCGTGTCTTCCGGTACACCTCTGTCGACTTCCTTGTCCGTTTGTGCTGAAATCCGGTAGACCACAATAACACCAGCAAAAATCAGCAGCGCAAGAATGGAAGTAGCTTTAAGGTTGAGTCCTCCTCGTGACATCATGAATTTGAGTTGTGGCAGTTGAAGTACCTAAAACGATATATAACAAAAAGAACTTATTAGTTTTGGTTTGATTAAGAATCTCAACATGGTGCACTTTTAGCTGAAATTATTATATGACATTCAGTTATCATTAATTGTTCCGTGATAATCCTCTTTTAGGTTATTATCGTCAACTAAACTATCTGATAGTGTGATGATGGCGGGCGTGAACAAATAAAAAAATATTCAAAAAAGATACTGTAGATATTCCACCGAATTACGAATTATTGAACGTTTCACAATCTCTCTCCCTATTTATCCGTGTGCTGTCACTGTCAATAACCTAAAGTATCATAACTTGCACGCTCAAAACAAGAACCTTTTCTTAATTTCTTATCTTTAAGCTCAACTGCCCGAAGGGATGGAGCCCGACAAAGTTTGAGAATGAAAATGAGCTTGACCTGCTTTCATGGTCACGGTTCAAAAAGCATCAAAAACTTTTAACGATTTCTTCTGAAGAAATGAGAGGTATATAATCTAAATATTGGGTTAGTAGTTTCTTTGGATGGTGCCCGACAAAGTTTGAGAATGAAAATGACCTCAACCTACTTTCAAGATCACTGGGTTCAAATATGTCAAACACTTCAAATGACTTCTTCTGAATAATCTAAAGGTATATAATTTTAATATTTGGCTGGTAACTGTCACGGATGGAGCCCTATAAGATTTTCGATTGAAAATTACCCTTACCTTCTTTCAATGTCACAGGGGTCAAATATAGCAAAACTGCAAAACGGCTTCTTTTGAAGAAGTGAAATGCATGGAATCGCGATACTTAACAAGTAGCCTCCTTAGATGGAGCCAAACACAGTTTTCGAACGAAAATGACGTTTGCCTACATTCATGGTCATAGGGATCCAATTTAATTGACTCTTCTCAATAACTTATAGCCACAGGGTAATGATATTTAAGGATTAACTTTCTATTTAGTTTACCAACGATAACCAAATGCACACTTTGGGGAACATTTAATATTAAGTCCAAAAATGAGGTATTGCCAAATTGAAATCAAAAATAGTATTTTTTCTTTCGTCAAACTTTTACATCTCATTTGGAACTATCATATCCTGGTGTTAACTACAAGAAACTTTGAAAAATACAGTGCACTCAGGTACCAACATTTGGCTTGTTGGTCTGTTCAAGAAAACATAACTAACCATAGCTACTTGTACTTTTGAAGTTGCTGGTTGTCTTTAACCTTTTTGTACCTTTCATGTATTTGATTTCCTTTTGTTTTCTCTTTACCTGATAACCTCTTTTGTGTTGATGGTTCGTTAAGCATTCATCATCAATTAAAACTTAAATCCTATTTTCAGAAAGCTTTACAGGCATGCACTATTACAAACAAAACTGAAAAACGAAATAAGACAAAAAAAAAATAACAGGTTCTTGAAATCCATATTAAACAAAGAAATGAGAAAAGTTAATGGTCTGATAATGGTAGCAGAGATTGTCAAGGGTCTTTGTCCCAATGCATGGTTTTTCTACCTATATGCGGTAGCTTCCCCTTTACTATCGTTTGTTTTGGATTTAACTGTATAACGATTGGGCTAACATGCTACCATCCACTAATTAGCTCAAACGGTTAGAGCGATACTTTTGCAGTCTAAAGTCAAGGTTCGAATCCGGTCCATATCTTTATTTTATTTAGACAGGGTAACATATTTAGATTTTCATCTAGTTTACAATATGGGTCTTGCCCAGCGGAGTATTTCTAACACCCGGAACACAGCTGTTGACTATATCTTCTTTATCATTTCTCATAAAGGTCCCGCAAGGAATGATTTTCTTTTCCAAAATGGTTTATCAAAGACAGGAATGCCGGAATAAACAATTTCCAATACTAAATTACAAATTTTGGAAGAGGTATTGTTTGTTTTTGTTTTTTCACGGCCCATCAACAATGCGAGTCATTTTGGGCCAAAAACTACACTAAAAATAGACATTCACCAAAATGACTACATATCAAGCTACAAAAAAATGTTCAAATGTTAAAATGCATTAACAATGAACAAATTGGTTGTAATATCTAACAGATTTAGTTATAAAGATCAACTGAGTATAAAACAAAATGTTCAAAGACGATATGTCACGTATCTTCAGTATATTGGAGTGTTTGCCTCATTCCGATAGCCCGGATCTGATGACTCAAGACATTCCATCCGTTCACATGACAATAAAACGGGTTGACTAATGTTTGAATTTTCATTTCCTTCCTTGTATTTATTTTTCCCTGTAATATATATCATATGAATATGAGCGTACATGTACTGTTTTAAGACACGAAGTCACCGAATGCACGTACAAACGTGGCCATTAATCGTTTGTTTTTAGACCGTGTCAAAGAAGCAAACTGAAACAGGTGTCCTGAACAGATAAGGATCCGACCTGTTCTCGGTAAACAATTCTTGGTATCGTTGTAAAGATGGAATATGTTTCTAAGTTTCACTAACCTTTCAGAGTATTATCCATGCCAAATAGTGAAACACATACATGTACTACTCCCGACTTCTGAGCTGTTAAAATACTATCCTCTTGACAGTTTGTTCAGCCTTTACAGAACCCAGGTGGCTTAAATGAGTCAATGTCTTACAAATCATTAAAACGTATGATGAACATTCTAAGTGAACATTAGTACAGATCGTGACAATGAGTTTGAGGCTCACCAACGTCACGTACACTGGGTTCTCCTCGCATAACTTGTATTAAAAGTCAGTGATATAACAGGTAACATAGGCAAACTATAATCGGACAATAAATAAGCAAAATTGTGAAATGGAGGTGATAATAAAAGTAGTTTGCGTATGATTTGACTACTGTTACTACATTTTTATCACATACCTGTTAAATCTTGTTATAGTAATACAAGCAATTCTCAGACCATGACATACAACGTTCTGTATTGCACATGTGCAATACGGAATGTTGTATTTACCTACTAGCTGTAACTACTCTTTATGGGAATCCCCTTGTCATGGCGAACTGAAAAATTCCCGGTATTTGCAAAAAATATCAAAGTTTATAAAATCTTTGTAACGATCTCTTCCAAATACGGAAGGTATGTGATAAAAGCAAGACCAGACACTTGTGTTTTTCTAACTCATCAAAAAGCACTCATTTATTGCGTGGACGTATATATTCGTCCGCTCAATAAACTCGTGTGGTCTTGCATATGTATCGCCTATAACAAATAGAGAAAAGGCTATACGAAACAAAAAATAATGTATTGTTTACTTTATATTAGAGTCACCAACATCTCTGTCAAATAAACTTGAAAAAGGTGTCAAATTGCAAATCGCAACACAATGTGGGTTGAGTGCACGATGAAAAACTATGCGGTTATAGCAAGCGCAATTTTTTACAGTTCGATAAACATCGAGGTTGATATTTAGGAATTGATATGAATATATACAATTTCTAGTAAAAGTTGCATCTTTTCTGCTTTTACATGCAAGTATGTTGCCAGATTTAAATGCTAATCTCTTTATGTTAGAGCAATGTGCATAGACATCACGTACCATAGTTGTTTTGAAACGACCTTAATAGAAACGTGCGTTTCAATGTGATCATAACGTCGTTTGTACGCGTAGATATAGTGTAACAAAAAAAAAACACGTAACGGGTACAATTCTTGGATCTTGTCAACCATGAAAGGAAATAAAGAATTTCCACACGAATCCGACTGTGTATGTTACAAATACAATTAACACAGGAAAGTTCCTGATGTATTTGTTTTAAAAGCTGTCAGGTCACCGATCAACTCTAACCGACAATCGACAATTCTTACATTACACATAACCCCGTTCTTACAATGCTCCGGAGATGAAATGTCAACAGTTTGTTTTTGAGCATGTTTACTTGTAGACGTATATAGGTGTACATGAGGTTCTCAACGTGCCATATTCCGTAATATAACCCTTTTCAAACCGGAAGGGGGATATATCACCTCATCTTCCGTTAACAGTTTACAGACGCTATTGAACGGGAAATGAATGATTGTAAATGCAGAGGAAAAATTGTTGGTTTCAATTTTGGATGTTACACGAATAAATAGTTTGGAGATATAAGAAAACTGTATATGTACCCCACTGCATGTGTATCTTCTATCTACTTTCTGTTTCAGGCGGTGTGTCCTTAACTACTCGTCCTCATATGAACAACCAAACATTCATAAGGTACATCTATTAAATATAATATGTACGTATTGTTCGTTTGCAGTTATTNTATGTCTTTTCCAAATTTCAAATTTCCCGCTTATTACCGTCAGGTCAGGTCAGTATCTAGAACGGCACAAAGATAACAGCTGACGTCATGCGCTATTTCCCATACAAAATTGAAAAGACTCCGCAACTTTCGTTAATAATTCATTTGATTTTGATTTATATATATATATCATATTCTCGATTCATAAATAGTAACAAATGACATTTTGTAAGTAACTAATCAAGTGTCGTAAAACATTTTCCGATTTTATTGCGACCTTTATCCGGCGCACGCACTCAACGGAAGCCCGCAGTAATCAGGCCAGAGTTATATTTGCAGTCCGGCATGTTGTTGATGTTGATCGTGCAACCGGAGAAGGTTGAATTGGTGAAAAATCCAGGCGTTAAATTGTTTGTTGGTCTCACAGACACTTGAGACAGGCAGCTGGTGTAAGGGATCAAAGCAGAAGATACCGATAAGTTCGGTAGTGACACTGTTAAGTCGCTCGGAGGTGCAAAGACCAACTTCAGTTATAGTATCATAAGATGAAGCTGCTTTTGGCAGTACTTTAGTAGCAATATAGAAGGGCTTTGCCACACCAAATGTAAATGTATACACTTATTACACTGTAGTACTGTTTATTTCATGTAGGATTTTTTTTTTTTTTTTAATGTAGACTTGCACTCATAACGAAATAGTATACGGAAACCATGACTTAGTACTAGAATAAGCCTATTTTGCCACAAAAGGTTATGTACTTAGTCTACACATTCTGTTTTAAAATT